ATTGGTTAATTATCACGGGTGATCACATGTAGATCCATAAAAATTAGCCAATCATATGAATTTCTTCCTATGAAGGTACATCACGATATTCCTGATTTTTCCGATTTTTTAATCAAAATTAATTAAGTAGTTTCTATAGTAAAATCGCATTTCCGACACTTTTACTTAGTGAACCAAGACCGGTTTTGATAGCCAATTTTTGTATTTTCCGTGTTTTAGTCTTTGGCGTCTCGCTTTGTTTTGTTCTGGCTGATCCGGGTTATATATCGGGTAATCTCGTGATGTACCTGGCTTTAGCCAACACCAAAAAGAGAAATGATCTGCGTTACACGAATTTGAAAAATCCCTAAGTAGATGTCATGACGATTTGCAACTTATACACTCTCGTTATAACGGACCTCGTTAAACCGGATCACTTATTATAATGAATAAAGTTTGTCAGAACCAAATTTTAAATAATAAATTGCCCCCGATATTTCGGATATTTATAAGATCTATACTTTATAGCGGATGCGGATTAACTTCTATTTATCCAATATGTACCATTTTATTTACTATACCGGATATGACACCTAATTGACTATTGAGTGACTTATGATCTTAAAGTATAGAATAGCACAACCAATAAAACCTTTAATTTAGAAATTTAGAATAAAAAAAAAAAAATCCGACCACCGATCGAAATTTCTAATGCCGTGTAATGCAAAACGAAAAACAACCTTCGTAGCCTTATATTAGTTGGGCTAAGCGAGGGCATGCGTTTTTCATAGGACGGGCATTTAGGAAGGTTGAGAGGTCTGACTATATCCGTAATTGAGATCAAACTACACATAAATACTCAACTATATATATATATTTCTAACTCGAAATGTTATAAACCATATTATGTCGGATTATATATAACCTTGCTAGTAAAATCGCTAATACAGTATAACGGATTATTTCATATATATATTAATAAATTCATTATAATGTGATAATGGATTTTTATTATTCGGTGAGATTTTTTCAGCCTGATAGGTCCGTTATAACGTGGGTAGAGTGTAATTTCTAATAAAATTAGTAAAAAAAAAATAATAATAATAAATAATAAAAAAATGCAACGTTTCTAGCAACACCTGGTAATCCATACTATCATGTGCATCGTGTACTATCTTTTTTGTTTGATATTCATTTTTATTGCAACATTTTTTAAGTGGGAACGGAATCTAAGCTAATTAAGAATTTCTTAGTATTTTAAGATAAGAGTGAGAGTTATGACTTAATAATAAGGTGTCAAAAAAAAAAAAATTTAAATGACGCATTTGATAGTTAATCTCAAATAAGTAAGGAAAATTCCTAATTAGAAGAAAATGCAATTATAATTTTCTAGATATAAATGTGATGTTGTGAGTGTTTCCGGGACCGTAAATCCGTTATGATATCGTACAAAAAGAAATGCGTCATCCTCATTTTCTATTAGGGAGAAATAACACAGTAAATCTCCTCAATTGATGGCTTATTCCAGCCGTTGCTGAAATTAAATAAAATTTGCAAATAATTTTAATCTAGACAATTTTATGATATACATACAAAAAAAACTCAAATTAAACCTCGCAAAGGATAATACGGTAAATTATATAACCTCGGCATAACATTTGGCCTAAGAATTAATTAACCTTTAAAATATGTGCAAATGAATACTGTTGCTAACGTAAGAATTTTAATATAAAATGATCGGTAATCTCTACGTAAAAAAAACAACAAAAAAATTCACTTGACATCTAATATTCAAAAATGTATTACTATTTAGCTGCAATTTTTGCATTTGTTAGCTACTTTCTGTATAAATGTTATATTTATCCTTTATATTTGTCGCCATTAAGTAAAATTCCTGGCCCACCTGTTGATAATTTAATTCTTGGACATTATTCCTCTTTATTAAAGAATGATTTGGGTGAAGCCTTTTCTCATTTAGCAAAACAATATGGTGGAATAGTTAGATTTCATGGCTTATTGAATAAGCCATATCTCTTAATTACTGATCCAAAACTCGTACAAATGATATTGAGTCGTCCGTATGATTTTCCGAAGTTCAGGATTAACACCGCTATATTCAAGGAGTTAATTGGTGAAGGCATTACACTTGCTGAAGGAAATTCTCATAAACGACAAAGAAAAATGATGTCTCCTTCATTTTCTTTTGCCAATGTCAAGGTATTATTTACGACAATTAATGATCTGTTAAAAAATTAATCTGTATAATTATATCTAACAATTTTACTTTCTAAATTTTAAGGAAATGATTCCAACATTTGTTCAAGCTGGCCATAATTTAAAAGCTATCTGGATGAAAGAAATTGGTAATAAGAGAGAGGAAAGAATTACGATTACAGCTATAATCTCAAAGATAACTTTGGATGTTATTGGCCTTGTTGGCAAGTATTAGTTTATATTCGTACTATGTTAGGTTTTTTTTAATAACGCTCTTAATAGTAATAGTAATCATATTATTTATTGTAAATAGGATTTAATTACAAATTCAATTCTACAACTACAGAGTCTGAATTATCTAAAGCATACAATTTCGTAACTAAGCACCGTCTAAATCCCTTATACATGGATCTATCCAATCTCCTTCCGTTTATCAGAAAATTTCCAACACGTGATAACAATAAATATTATGATTCTATTAAAACTATCAATAATATTTCCGAGAAACTGCTTGCTGATCAAAAAAATTGTCCTGTTCAGGGAACAGATTTATTGTCATTATTGGTAAAATCAAATGATCAATTACCCGTTGCCGAACAATTAACTCATTATGAATTAGTTAGTCAGGTAAGGATTATTAAATAATTTTATTAGACTTTTATTTAAATTATTTGAAATATATAAAGTTATTTAAATATATATATAATTTTATTAAATTTACTTAAAATTTAAATCCAATAAATTTCAGGTTAAGACATTTATCTTAGCTGGACATGAGACCACCAGTGTTGCATTATCTTGGACACTATACTTTCTCGCAGCAAATCCTGATATTCAATATCGTCTTCGCAAAGAAATACTTGCTATACTTCCTGATCGTGATTGTCATCCAACTTTTGATCAAATTGAACAATTGAAATTTTTAGAATGTGTCTTTAAGGAAGTTTTAAGAATCATTCCACCTGGTATAGTTCAATATCTCTTTATATTTTGAAATCATTAATTACTTACTTTATCCTAACTCTAATTTATATGAATTAAAGTGCCTGCACTCCTTCGTACTAATGTAAAAGATGAAGTGTTTAATGGTTACTTGATTCCAAAGGTATTTTCTTAAATGATTTTATATAGTGCAATTATTATTTGATAAATAATTCATATAGCTTTAAAAAAATTTTTTTTAGAACACACGATTGTTGATCCCCATCTACGCAATCCATCATGATCCCTCAATTTGGGGTTATGATACCGAACATTTTAACCCATCTCGGTGGCTCAATCCGGAAATAAAATCAAATATAACCAATTCAAATTTCATACCTTTTAATACCGGTCCAAGAAGTTGTTTGGGAATGAGAATGGCAAATTTAGAATTTAAATCTATATTAGCTGTGATTATTAGAAATCTTGAGTTTAAATTAGTTGAAGGGTTTACCTTTGAAAAGAAATATGGTGGTACAATTAAACCTAATCCCGGAATTGATCTATTGGTTTCAAGTGTAGATTGTTAAAATTAAATAGTATTGATTTTTAAGTGATTTGGATACTATAATATTAGGGTTGAGACTTGTCTTTTCTAGAGTGTGAAAAATTTTAAATAATATGCTGTTAAGCAACAAAATTTTTTAAAAAAAATCGGTAAATAATCTTTATGAATATGTTGGCTAAAAAATTTATTAAAAATGAATAAATAGCTTACCGATTGTAAGGGAACATACATTATTTGAAATTTATAAATGACAATTAATAATAGTGGTTGCTTAAACTGGGATTTTAACTTAATTTATACAGTACAAGGGTTCCGTTCATTTCATTGTCAATTGCTTCACCAACTTAGTTCATTGACAATTACTTCAGCAGTTCATTGACAATCAATTCACCAAAAGTCTAGTTAACTGACAAAGTAATTCCAATCATTGTTAAGGCTAGTGCGATTTTTAAAAACTTAGTGAAATGAGCTATCAGTAAATTAAACTTGATTGTTAGTGAAACAAGATATCAATAAATTGATTGTCAGCGAAATGATACAGTGAACTTATTTTCCACCGTGATACAAGCATGAAATAATAAATTTCTATTTTTCGTACATTTGCTTTAACTTTAGAATCAAAATTAGGGTCATTTTAGAGTTAGAAAGGTTAGAGATTATACTAAAATTTTGCAAGAAATTTTTTTGTTAGACACTAAAGGCATTTTTTTTAGATAAAATTTAGAATTATTATCGATTTTTTTTTAACACCTATAAGAAATTGCTTTGTGTTTGTTTTACGATCTTTTCTTAAGGTTTTGTGCTGTCTCGTGAGACACCACATTGCCTATTTTACCCAAAAAGGAAGTCGCCCGTGAAAAAAATTATTATCTTGTGCATAACGCTCGTTACGTTACGTAATGTTCATAACGCACATTACGTTACGATTCAGATCTGTCAAGTTCCCTCAAATGTTTTTATTGAACTCAAGTTGTATTTATGATAAAATAATGTTGGGGCTTAGTATTAATACTAATATAGGATTTGCTAAATAATTGTTATTTACAGCTTAAAATATACGTTATCGTGAACTTGTAGATATATCGTGGTCTGTTTGTACCATCCCACCATGTTCTTGTAATTAATCAAAGATAAAATGTATACTGAGAATGTTCGTAAAATATTTTCCAAACTTAACAAAAACAATATACCAGGAATGGAGTTTCACGGAAGTGAAACGAAGGATATAGCAGGAACGAATGTAATGAGTGTATTGTTTGTATGCTATTTGAAATGACTTCTGTCCGCAAAATCTTACATCTTATTGGTCCGTATTACTTATTCGTCATCCAATATTTATTTTTTACATGCAGTTCATCACGCTTTATACCAGAAACGTAGTGAAACAGAGTGTAGGCTTCAATTTAAGCTTGGCGTTTCCCCACAAATTTTTTATTCTGATTGGATGTAGTAATCGAATGATTTATAACTTGATATTTTGTTAATAAAAATTACAGCAATCATTCACAGCCTTAGCGTTAGAAGAGCACTAGCGTTCACTGTACAAAAGAATTTCAAAATGATCTTAAACCTAACAACTTAGAAGATAAATATATAGTTGCCTATTTTGAATGTCGTTAGAATTGTGCAGTAGATTAAAGGTAATTAGGAATGCTTTGTATAAGACTGCTTTATTAGCTACTATATCTTAAATAATCTTTTATTGTTAACTGTTTAGTTTTAGATAGGTATAAACCCTTTAATAATAGAAATTTGGGTTTAATACTTAAATTTGTTTGACTTTGTAGTGTGTTTTGGATCTGCCAATCGTAAATTAAAGCAGTGATTGAACCCAGGTGGGTGCTACCAGATTACCCGCGGATGAGCGGATGGCCCGGGTTGGATTGTGGTAACCCAAGTAGAAACGGAGTCAACCCACGGGTCACCCATAAGTCAGCCCACATGTAACCCGTGGATATAAGCAAGTTTCTAATGATGTTTATTGAAAATTTTAAAAATGCTTAGAAACCGACTTAAAGAAGGTCTGCT